TCAGTGTTAGTAGCAAAAACAATGAGTCTTTCTGCAAGGAACAATGTATTTTAAAATGAAATGGTGATCTTTTTTAAAGGTTAAAAACTCAATTTTATGTCTTACAGGGCTAAAAATTTTATAGTCACTTTTGAAAGAGATGTATTTTTGCTATAATACCTGATGTTATTAAGGGCTATGACACTGTAACTAAAGTTTTAAAAACATTGCATTGATTGGACTGTATTTTATAACATTCTCAGATGCACAAGAAAATTACTTGATCCTTTCCTTACCACCTTACTTGGTTTTCCATTTCCTTGATCACTGATGACTTGGTCATTATTTGGAAAAAGTAGAGTTAGAATGTAAAGGTTTAGGTAGGGTGTTATTATGTGTTTATTTTGCTCTGAAGGGATAGGAATTAGTATTACTCAGCACACTGGACTCTAGAGCCTTGCTTTTTAAGGCAAGGCCTGTGGTTTATTTTAGAGTAAATTTGAACCTTACATAGTAATTAGCAAATAATAAGTATTTTAAAACCAGATTATATGATGTACCATTTTGTAACTCTCAAATATTTTTAAATGATTGTAGAATTAAAATAGGTTGTAAAAATAACAGTGGACTTAGTATATTGCTTTGGTTAGTTGAGGACAGAATACCACCAGAAGGTTGAAAATGAATCCTATATTCAAATTAATTGTAACAAAATAAGGTAGGACCCACTGTCTTTAAAGATAAAAGAAGACCTAAGAGCTAAACTTCATCTCTGTGAGAAAGATACTCCAGTAGATGGCATTGTAAGGCTTTTTCCCTCCCTCCCTCCCTCCCTCCCTCCCCTTCCTTCCTCTCTGTCCCTTTTGTTTGGAGAATTAAACTTTGTTTCTTTCTGTTGGTTGTGGTTTGTAAAAGTGATTACATTGTTTCACTGACAGATTTTTGAAGCCAAAAAAGACCCTATAGTACATATGTAGGGCCTCAGGTTTTAATTATTGTGCCTAGCTAGCCAGCCAGGCCATTTCAATAATCTCCTTCCTTCACTTTCATTCATTTAAAAATGTATTTATAGAAAACTATTGTGCTGGATACTACGCTAGTTTCTAATGATATATTAGTAGAATAAGACAGATGTGGACTGTTTCACTCTGAGACCTTCATTTTCACACGTGCGCTGGCTACTAGAAAAGGGGATGAGGAGTGTGTACTCTGGTAGGCCGGAGCTGGGGTATATAATAGGGATTCCTGTTTTATCAGTGGCCTATTCTTTTAGGCAATGTACCTGTTGATTCTGTCTTAGTCTTCTCTACTGTACAAGTGCATAATGGTCAAACCTATCTCAAAGTGGAGCTGTAATAGTTACGTGAGAAATATTGTGAAGCATTAAGACAGTGCCTTGTCCAGCAAGTGCTAGCTGCTATTTTCATAATACTTTATTATCATTGTACTTATTGCCACAATTGCTCTTGCTCCAGTACCAGATAGGCAGCATGGATCGTGTTCTGTTCAGTGACCTGAGAATAATAACTGATAAATTGTGCTGCCATTCTTGATGTATGCGAAGAGCTAAAGATCCTGAAAAGTCTAAAAAACCATTAGGGAAAATAAGTTTGTGACTGGTGATATATTTGGTATTAGTGTGTTCTTGTCAAGTTTATGTTGCTGCTGATAATTCCATTACTGAAGCACCAACATTATGCAGATTTCTGATAGAAACTTGGCCAGTTCGGTCCTTGCCATTATAATGCAGTAGTTGTGGGCTGAGTGTGGTGATCCATGCCTTTAATTCCAACACTTGGGAGGAGGCAGAGGCAGGCAGATCTCTGTGAGTTCAAGGCCAGCTGGTTTTCTACATAGCAAGTTCTAGGCCAGCTAGAGCTACATAGTGAGACCCTGTCTCAACAGACACGAAGACAAAGACTGCAGTGGTTGTGGAAGAGCCTTATTCCAGGGTTGTTAGTATCTTAGATGAAGGTGAAGCCTTGTGTGCTCCATGGCCCTGAGGGTGAGGTAGCAAACATGTACATTATGAGCCTGCAGAGAGATCCTGGGAAATTGAACATCTCTTCTTCTTGCAGATTCCACTGTGTAAAGTAATTAGATTCAACATAGACTACACGATTCATTTCATTGAAGAGATGATGCCTGAGGTAAGGGAAAGGATTGCTTGACAGCTTCTTCTGTTTATTTCATACTCTTAAAAATTTAGTTGGTCAACTCTTGCTTTTTGCCATTTGACACCCCTAACATACCATGTTCACTGTCAAAAGGTCATTAAGATGTAGCTCTGGTATGAAGGTTAAAATTTTAAATTCATTGATCTGTTTTTGAACCCAGTTCTGCTCATGTTGCATCTGCTGATAGTAACTGTACATCTGTTCTCAGTTCTGCATAGGGGACCGAGTTTGGTTACTGGCCAGTATCATAGGGAAGGCTGGCATGGTGACACTGAAGCTGCTGCTACTGGGATAATCTTATCGCCAGTGACAAGATCAGCACTTGGTTCATTTTTCTTCCCATATATTTACATATTTTTCCTAATTGTTTTTCATTGTGGATGCTAAGCAGAAGATTTATCTAAATATATGCAAGTGTTTTAAAATTCAAAAGCAAGATTAATGTGAATCTCAGAATGATTCATTGCCTGATCTTGAATTTAGTGTTGTCAACAAATCACACTAAGAAATAACAGCTAGACAGCAAACAAGCTTGTGCACTTAATGTGTTGGAGTTGGGATTGATTTCTGGAGCCTTTGGCTCTTAGAATTTGCTTAACAGGGAAGAGCTGTCATGGATGGGCAGGGAGCAACGAAGGGGAAATGACGGCCTGATGTGCATGCAAAGTTAGCACCTCTTTAATTCTGGGCCAGTCCTGATCATTCTACCTGCATTTAAATAGAGTTATGAGAAAAGCCTCCCTCCCTGCCCTAATCATTCTCCTATACAGAGGGCTCCCCTCACCCCCTTGCCTCTGTTTGGTTCTAAGGTTATAAGCCTTCATTTGCTGTTGTCAAAGTTTGACTTCTGACATGATCTTATGCAAGGCGATTTATGAACCCTGAACAAAACAAGTAGGTATAAGAATTATGAGGCAAGCTTCACTTGCAGATATATCATCTGTTTAGTTTGTTTACAGGAGAATTTTTGGTACAGAGTTTTATAGGTTTTCTTAGCCCTTTATTTCCCTCTTAAGATTTTGAAATTTTTGGTACAAAGGACTTCTGCTTTCTGGTAACTTGGCAACAGGGAATCTGGGTGTGTGGGTGGGGTGGGGTGGGTTGGGAATTGGGGAACAAGCCATTTAAGCTGCATATATGTGCATACTTTGGATTAAAAAAGCATTCCCAGGAAATTCTGATACTTTGTGTAGTTGGGTTAGGAAAATATGATAAATGTAAGACTTGTCTTTAAGTTTTATATAATTTTATTTTTTTACTGAAAAGGACTGAGTTGACATTTTTATAGAAATCCTAATGGCATTAAAGGTACTTGCCTAGAACAAGTTAAACCTCCAGTTATATATTTGCAGATCTATAGTAATTTGATTTTGGCTTATTTTTTCAGAATTTTTGTGTGAAAGGGCTTGAACTGTTTTCACTGTTCCTATTCAGAGATATCTTGGAATTATATGACTGGAATCTTAAAGGTAAATAATAGGGTTTTAAAAAGTGCTTATGACTGTTATGGTGTATGTAAAACTCACGTGAAATTGGGGGCATAGTTGAAAATGTTTTGTAAATACATTGGGAAAACTATGTTACCTATAGGAATACTTGCTATCAGTTGACATGAATAAATGGTTATGAATTATACTTCATGCAGTTTGTCACTGCCTATGATTAGCCGAGAAAATGGCACTAGTTATTATGAGTAACTACCTAGATTTATGTGCATTAGGTAAATCTCATTAGTTGCTACTTTAAATATAGTAAACATTATTTTAATAAGCTTCTGAGATGACAGTTTATTAAAATATGGAGAACCAGCCAGTCATTAAAGCATACACTCACATGCAGAGTGATCTAGATAGATTCAGAGGCTTGATGACTGGTTCTTAGGTAATAGCTTACTGTTTTGCAAGTATCTGTGTTCTAGCAAGTATTTGCTTACTTATTTTTAAAGCAGAACATTGAAGAATGACTTTTCCTTTTTTGTTTCCTTTTTTTAGGGGAGGGGAGCACCAAGGGGTATTAAGGAATTTATTAGAAGTATTAGTGCCATGGATAGACAGACAGGGGAGCCACAGCATGGCTGAGACTGAGGGGAGTTGTAGCCCCAGCACCAGAGACTGACAGCATGGTGGGGTCTTTGAAGAGAATCTGAGCCCTAAAGAATGACTTTTTGAAACAAATTTTGTTGTTGTTATTGTTGTTTTTGTTTTGTTTTTTGAAATAGGGTCTCCTTGTAGCTCCCAGCTGGCCTGCAACTCACTATGTAGACCAGGCTGGCCTTGATCTCTCAGAGATCTGCCTGTTTCTGCCTCATGAGTGCTGGGATGAAAGGCGTTCGCTGCCATGCCCAGCTTGAACAAGTTTTTAAATGACTTGGATGAGTGGCTTTTCAAACCAAGTGCATTGATGAATGGCTTTCTAAATTAATAGCATCTCTCAAGTCTCTTTGTGTATTGATTAAAAATGGAAAAAATTAACATACAAGCATATTATATAATGCTACAGTTTAATTAGAGCACAAATCTAAATCTTGTTATTTTTGAATTTAAAAAAATTTTGCTGTATATATTGGCTTCTTGAGGATACCATTCTGACTTGCTGTGGTTGCCTCATTGCAGTCCTCACTGGATGCTTGTGGCAGTTGCTGATGATTGATTGGGCTATTGAGTCGGGGAACTGGTATTTTTTTTTTTTAATGTTCCTACTTGTGGTTTTGGGGTTTTACCATAAATCTTAGGAATTAAGTTGCAGTGTTTGCTTTCTAATGCTGTTTGATTTCTTTTTCTTTCCCTTTTCACTTCTTTGCTTTAGGTCCTTTGTTTGAAGACAGCCCTCCCTGCTGCCCAAGATTTCATTTCATGCCACGCTTTGTAAGATTTCTTCCAGGTAATTTTTTTGCCTTGTCAGTGACCTGGTGAGATCGTGTGTCTAAAAGTAAGCCTGCCATTCTCCTTTCAGTCTTTAGGGATAACTTCCCCACACTGGATGCTGTTAATTATCTACTTCTTAGGTTGCATTTAGTAATGTAAAATTTTACATGTTGGCTTATACCTTTGCATAATTTATCAGTTTCAGATTAGACGAGCAGTGAAATAATTTATACATTTTGAAAATGTACTTAATGTCACCGAAGTGTGATCATTATCGTGAGAAAAGACATGTTACTTAATATGGCCAATTGGAAAACAGTTACTAAAAAATTTCATATACAATGTGATTATAGCGATGTTATAATAATTACAATAATAGTTATATTAAGGTTTTTAATTATTTTGCAGTGAAAAAGAATATGTAATAATTCATTCTTCCATCAAATTAAAATTTATAAGTAAATATATAACTTTTAA